GGGGTGGGAGCGAGGAGATACGGGCTCGTATCTCATATGCTGCAGACGTTCTATGGAAAAACCCAGTCTGCGGCCTTGTCACCTACCTATGTCATAGCTGGCCATGCACAGACCATGTGGTCTGCAGCATTTCACCAGGTCCCCACCCACCCCACTGCCTGGGGGACCGTAAGAACCCTGCCGTACTCTAGGACGCTGCAGCTTGTCGAAGCCGGTTATGTCCTCAGCTGGGAACAGAGGCCTGGGGCTTGACTCCAGAACCCACACCGGCACCCCACCACACAGGCTACATGTGATAAAAGCCGTGAAGGGCCCTTGGGTGTCCTTGCCTCTCTGACGAGCATGCTGGAACATTTGGCCCAATGAGCCAATAGGATGAGACTTCTCCTATTGGCTTTCCTATCGTTACAGAACGAGCTATAGGATGAGGCTTCTGCACGGAGGGACTGTTGAGCTGACCGGCCTTCGAGAACAGTCCCGCCGCACCTTCTCAGCTCCTCTCGGCCGCATCTGCCTGAGGCCAGCAGCTATGGTCACCTAGATGGTACCTGGCGCCAGCTGGCTCAGGCCATATGAAGTCTCTAGAGAAGGAGCCGGAGTGTCGCACACAGGCCCCTGTGGGGACAGCGGCCTTCCCTATAGACATGGCACAGTCCTGAGCATCAAGACTCTCTGCTCTGTCTCCTTAAGCCCTGTCCCCAACCAGCTTGTCACCTAGAAACTATAACAGTGTCATGCCAAAGCAGCCAGGACACCGTGTGGTAGAGCCATCCTCAAGTCCCCGGTCAGTTCCTCACCAAAAAACACACGTGTGAGATTAAAGTGGGGAAGGGGCAAATCCTAGTATGCACTGCCAGGAGCCTCGAGGGCACACCCACTGTATAGACTGGCATACACACGCAGCCGAGATCGCTACCCCGAACGCATGCCGATTAGTGGTTGTCTCTAACCACTCTGCCACCCGTCAGCCCCAAGATCCTTTTAGTGGTTCTTCCCTCATTTCCAAGTTTTAAATACCTCACCCCTAACTACCTCCTTTACCGTCAGCCTGACACCCTTCTGCCTGTGAGTCAGTCAGTAGCATCTCACCAGCCGGCCTTAGAGCCAAAGATGTTAGGGTCTTATATAAAATTCACACATCACCAGATCCAAACCATGCATTTCCTAAACTGAAGGCATCACAGGAAGTCAGGGGCCACTGGGGGAAAGGTTACAAGCACTGTGGGCCTCAAAGACCACGTGAGACAGGTGCGGTGGTCCACTCCCTGTAACTCAAGGGAGGCAGGAGGATTTTGAGTTCCCAAGTCAGCCTCAGCAACCCAGACAGACCCAGTTTCAAAACCTCTCCCCCTCAACATAACAATGAAAAAAAAAATTCCTGAGGCTGTGGAGATGGCCCAAGTGGGTAAAGGCCCTGGCCACCAAGTCTGATGACCAGAGTTGGATTCCTGGGATACACAGTGAACAGAACTGAGTGCTGCAGGCTGTCCTCTGACCTCACAGCACATACATATGCACACACACAAACAAACATATGATAAAAAAAATCCCTATGTTGAAGGGCTGACTCCCAGAGCTTCAGAATATGGCGCTTAGGTTTCAAGATGGTATCTTTAGAGGTAACTGAGGTAAAAATGAAGGTCCCCATAGTTTGCAGCCACGGCAGACTTCCGCCTGGGACCCCCAGGACCATGAGGTATTTATTGGGAGAGATGAGACTCCAGCCACTGGTTCTAGGCAAGGCAGAATGTCAGCCACATCTGACAAGGGCCATTTGTCGGCCAGACCTATCAGCTTCGAGGCCCCAGAAACAGCTCACCTCATTTCTGCCGTGGCCTGAGAAGTCCCTGATCCTGCAAGAGGTCCAAAGATGAAGGGAAGTCAGGGCCCAGCAGGTGACCAGATGGCCGAATCATTACCACAGGTGACTCTCTCCCTGGCCACTGAGACAGCAGGAAAGTGATTCATTAACTCTCTCTAAAGGAAGGCTTACAAGATCCCAAAGGGCTGTGTGAGCAGGAGGAATTTTCAGCTCAAACCGGAACCCTAGAGCAAACAAAAGGCTCAGGAATGTCTTCCGGACAGACTGTGGGACCAAAGCCCAGGCTCAACACACCACTGAAGACTCAACAGACTGTAGGCAGGCTGACGCCATTGGCTATCCCCAGAAACAGGACCAGGCAGGAAAGAAGGCACTGTGGGACACTGAGCAAAACCACTTGGGTCCACCATGTAGGGAAGGGACAGTCCCCAGACAGTTTTAGGACAGGAGGAAATTGCCAGGGTGGGTGTGGTTCATGTTGACCAGCTCAGATGGTAGGGGACCTCAGGACCTTGTGAAAATCTAAGCATCTAAGCATGAAATAGCCATGCCTAGACAAAGGTCTGTGGGCTTCCTATATCAACTGGACATAAACCAGAAAGTCCTTTTAGAAGAGGGACTCTCACGTGAGAAAATGCTATCAGACTACCCTGTAGAAAGTCTGCAGTATATTTTCTTAATTGATTGATATGGGAAGGCCTGGATTACTGTGGGCAGGGCCATGCCTGGGCTAGTGGTCCTAAGATCTATAAGAAAGCAGGAAGAGCAAGCCACGAGGAGCAAGCCAGTAAGCAGCATCCCTCCACGGCCTCTGCATCAGCTCCTGCCTACAGGTTCCTATTCTAAGTTCCCTCCATTATGGGTGCTACCTAGAAATCTAAGAAGAAACCTTTCCCACCCCAAGTTGCTTTTTGGTTATGGTGTTTTTATCCCCAGCCATAGAAACCATGACTAAGACAACATCTGTCCTTAGAGAGGCCCTGGCTTTCAGCCAGCTATGGAGGACGTGGCCCTTGCTTCTCAGAACTTTTAGAAAGCACCTCATAACAGTGTGAAGAGTGAGGGGAACTGAGGCACGAGTGCCCTGAGCAGAAAACACAAATGCCCCGTGGAGAGGGATGTTGTTTTCTGTTCTGAAGCAAGAATCAGCAACAGACTTTAGCAAGATCCGGTGGCCTCACTGGCAGCCCCGAGCTAAAGGCTTGCTTCAGGTTCAGAACTGGGTTGCTCTCAGAAATATCCCAGCATGGGAGAGCAGGATCCTGCCCCCAGCCTGGGCACTCTGCAGAGATCAAAGAGCTTGAGGACAGCCAAGGTTCCCATTTAGAAATTGGCCCATCTTGCCGGGCGGTGGTGGCGCACGCCTTTAATCCCAGAACTTGGGAGGCAGAGGCAGGCAGATTTCTGAGTTTGAGGCTAGCCTGGTCTACAGAGTGAGTTCCAGGACAGCCAGGGCTACACAGAGAAACCCTGTCTCAGAAAGAAAGAAAGAAAGAAAGAAAGAAAGAAAGAAAGGAAGGAAGGAAGGAAGGAAGGAAGGAAGGAAGGAAGGAAGGAAGAAAGAAAGAAAAAAATTGACCCACCTCTTGCCAGGTACAAAGCTACTCCTACCCAGTTCAGTCCAGTCCCTTTTGCAGGTGACAGAGATCCTCCTGAAGGATGTCCCCTGAAGCTGACTCATTTGTCTCTCTCTCTCTCTCTCTCTCTTTCTCCCCAGAGCAGCTCCACAGTGGTATGGAAGGAACAAACAGAGAGGGCTCTGACCACTGGCTGTGTGACCCTGGCCAAGTTAGCTCACCTCTCTGAGGTCGCTTCCCCCTCTGCAAAACACAGGTAGCAATAACTGTCTTGAGGTCACATGACAAGCTTAGCTTCTGCCAGGCCCTGGGTTGAAACCTCAAGAGGGCAAATAAATGAACTGAAATAAAAATGACAGCCAGCCCTAAGGGCCTCCTCCGCCCATGCGTGCTAAAAGCTGGTGAAGAAAAATGGGAGGAGGGGGGAAGGGGAGGGAGGAGGACTGCGAGGAGGAAGAAAAAAGGAAGAAGGGAAGACTCTTTAGTCAGACAGGCTTGAGTTTAAACCTCTCCTCACTCACTAGCTGCCTGTGTGGCCTTGGGAAACTTACTCAACCTCTCTGACCCTCAAATTTCCTCCTTTGTAAAACAGGAAAGATACTCCTTCCCTGAAGGAGCTCTTGGAAAGAAAGCTGGTTAAGACAGCGAGTCAGAGCCAGAGTTCTGCAGGCCTGCATGGCCCTTAGGAGGAATAGATCTCTCTCCCCTGACTGATCCTCTGGGACCACCCAGCACAGCCACTTGGGATGAGCATGAGGGGATAGCAGTGGTGCCTTGTAGAGAGTCAGGGATATCCAGCATTGTCACCCTGAAACACTGGTCTTCTTCATCCCTTCCCAGAAAGCCTCCGCGATCCCCAAAGCCCAACTGTGGACAAAGGAGATGGAGGTGCCAGGCTCAATGCCGCTTGGTCCATGGCATCTTCCCCTGTGGACGTGTGGTATCCTTTGACCGTCCACCCTGGCAGGCTATCCACACTCATCGGGAGGCCCTGAAGTCCTGCTCCCTAACTGCTTGGGACCCTCCTCAAAGGCACGTTATTTTAAGCCTCTCCTGAACCCTCGTCCTGAGCAAATGAGGAGATGGTTTCGGGATGGGGACCAGGAAGGGTTTTAAGGCCTCTCCCTCTGCCAGAAAGTCACTTAAAGTAGACAACAAGGACAGCTCACCCCCCTCTCTCGGGTTTACTCTGTAGCAGGCTTCGATTCCCAGAAAGACAATGTGAAACCCCAAAGCCCTAATCAATACACCACAAGGCTTGCCCTCCACGCCATCCTGAGACAGCAGGAGCAGCTCATCTCCACTACCGGCTTCCGGTGGGGCCCCACAGAGATCTTTCCGTTAATAAGGAAGAGAGGCCTGCCTGAGGTCTCCTGGCACAGAGTCAAAGCTATGTCAGAAGTGAGGGTGCCCGTAGGAACGCCAAAAGCATTGCACAGCTGGACTTCGGCATCAGACACCCCACAGTCTCCTAGGAGCAAAGTTTGTGTCACCCTTGAGAGGGGTCACAGGACTCTTCTTCTCATGGAGACTGAAGTCCACCCACCGTCTCTCACTCCCTGAACAGACAAGCTCCGAGCCCCACCCGCCTGCCCGCTTACTTTTGCTGGGCAGCTCTTCTTGGCTCAGGCCGTTGGAAGGAGCCAGCGGAGCACTGTCAGCCTCATCCAAGGTCAGGATGAGTGGTACGTCGTCATCCAAAATTACAGCCATCTTCTCCAGACCGGCGGTCCTCAGGATACAACGGCTAGGGCTTCAAACAGCCCCCGGCTTGAGCTCCTGTTCAAAGCCACGGGGCCAGAGAAGCTTCCCAGAGTCTGTTCCATCAGAGGCATCTTCTAGGGTCTGAAGGAGAAAGAAAGAAAGAAAGAAAGAAAGAAAGAAAGAAAGAAAGAAAGAAAGGTAATGATTAAAACATAATCATTACTGATGAACGTGTTCTGGGGTCAGGTAGCAGTGATGGGTATACAACCAGAGTCCAGGCTAAAACCACTGGATTTTATCTTTTGACATGGTAACTTCCAATATAAAAATTGTGTGTATGTGTGTATGTCTCTCATATATATATATATATGTATATATATATATATATATACATATATATATATATATGTCCAGCATTTATATATCAGACAGAGCCTTATACAGCCCACACTGGTTTTACACTTGCTATGAAGGAAAGGATGACTTTGAACGTCTGATCCCGTGCCACCACTGAGATTCCAAGTATGCACCATAACTGGTTTATAGGGAACTGGGGCCTGAACCCAGGGCTCTGTGCTAGGACTCACTCTACCTGCTAAGCCACAGCCCACGTCCATCACACTGGATTTCAACTTAATAAAACCAAAAAGTTAGGAGTCACCACATCTGCTGTGATTCCAGCACCTTGAGGGGTTGAGCCAGAAGAATAACAGAGTTTAAGGACAGTTGGACTGTATAGTAAGTGTACTTACAGAGAAAGAGAGAGAGAGAGAGAGAGAGAGAGAGAGAGAGAGAGAGAGAGAGAGAGAACGAGTTATGGTCATATAGGCACACTAACATATGAAGAAGGTAAGACTAGGTATGGTGACCCAGGTTTATAATCCTAGCCCTTGAGAGGCCAGGGGCTTGAAGGTCAGAGTTCAAGGCCAGCCGTGGCTACATACTGAGTTCAAGGCCAGTCTGACTTATAAGAGACAGTCTCAACAAATAAAATCAGAGTCAGGTGTAGTGCCACATGCCTTTAATCCTAGCACTTAGAGGCAGAGGCAGGTGGATCTCTGTGAGTTAGAGGCCACCCTGGTCTACAGAGTGTGTTCCAGGACAGGCAGGACTATACAAAAACAAAAACCTCTACACATTAAGTAGAGATAGAGCCAATAGGATAACTTTCCTGAGTGTCCACAGACAGAAAGCCAAGCTTTTTGCCTTGCAAAGTAAGACTCCAGGCCTGCAATTCCTAGCCATTCAGCCAGGTATGGTGCCTCCTAAAGTTACCCAGTCTTGTCCTCAGAGAGCAGTAATTACTCTCGGAATACACAAGATCATCCTGGCTTTGCTGGTGGCCGACACGCATCGTTCCTGCATGGACTTTGTGCGGTCCTCCTTGACCGGGAGGAAAGCACATGCACATTCTTTATAATTTATAATCAGCGTCCTTTTCAAAAGAGTCATCCTTCCCTCCAGGTTTAAACCCTCGGGACTGGCCCGTTGAAGAAGCTGTTTACACACCCTGCTTCTGCTTACAGAGAGAAAAAGAAAGGCAGGACTCAGCAGATCCGCCTAGAAAGAACTTTGAACTTGGAGAAAGCAGCAGGTTGCTGCCTCCAGCTGTGGCCTGTGCACTGGACGGATTCTGCCTCCAAACCAACCCACTGCAGGACAACTGGGCGATGCCTCCTTTCCTGGGGTGGATGGAAACACCACCAGGCACAGACAGCAGGTCTCCCTCAACAGAGACGGTGGTGGAGATAAACACCGCTCTCTGCAGCAGTCAGCTAAGCCTGAAACACTCTGCCTGGCAAACTTCCTGCAAGTGGAGGTTGTTGGGGGTGGGGGTGGGGTTGTATGTTTGTTTTGTTTTTTCCTTTCCCAGATCTGAGGATTTATTTTGCTTTGAAATCTCAACAAGGGGAGACAGAAGAGGAACTCCCACAAAATACTGTCATTTGTCTGCCTAAAGAACTGCAGTGTGTTTTCAATTTGGCTTAACTCTCTCCTCTCCCCAGTGCCTTGCACAGGCTAGGTTCACTCTTCTAACACAACTCCACAATGAGGAGGCTCTAATAGTGTGTTCTCTGTTCATTTGGAAGGCAAGAAACTCTTCCCAACTCATGACAACAGGTTTCTAAGGTCCGTCACTAGCATCCTAGTGAGATCTTCCCAGTGGGTTTTACGTTTTAACAGCTGAATGCAAGTATGACTCCATTCTGGCATGCCTTGTCTTACCTCAACGGCTCTCGCCCGGAGTGATTTGTCCCCACTGTCTAGAAATATTTCCAGCGTCACAACTTGGGAATGATCTCGAGGGAATCCAGAGCGGCTACACTCACTGAACATCTACAGTACACAGCTGAGACCCCACCCACAGGAAACAACCTCCGGGATCCGATTCAACAGCTCTGCCCTCCGTAGAGCCTGGGTTAGCTAGCGCCCACTTTATAGATGAAGCCGCTTAGCGTGGCTAACTCGCCTCTCACGAGTAAACAGCCACAAGTAGTCATGGAACGCAGGTGGCCCTTCCCACTTCAGCGCGATACCACAACTATTCCTAGAAACTACACTCCACTTATGTGAAATCCACCAACCGCTTTCTTGTTTTTGTCTTTTGAGGCAGGGATATCCCTGTGGAGACTTGAATAGCCTCGAAGTTGCCATCCTCCTGCCTCTGCCTCCCAAGGAACCTATGACTTTTCAAAGAGAAAGGAATGGGGCCCAGAGAGGGAAAGGAAACTATCCAAGGTCACAGAGCAGACAGACTCAGACTCGGAGCTCCTCGGGTCCTGCCCTTTGGCGGACCTCGGTTCTTACTCTAGCGAGGACCCAGAGAGTCACCCCTGGGATAAGGTCACCCCTGGAAGAAGGTCCAGGGATCAGACATCCTGCAGTCGGTAACCTGGGGCAAACTGACCGGGTCACAAGAGGACGCAGCCGGGAGGTGAGAGGGGAGGGAAGATGAGGAGGAAGGGTCGCTCGGGGACGGGGGGGAGCTCCAGCTCCCCACGAACCCCGTCCCGATCCGGGTCGCCCCAGGAAGTCAGGGCAAAGAAAAGAGGTGCAGAGAGAAGGGGATCCGCAAGGGGAGAGCACGCGGCCACCTCCCAAGGCCCCGCCTCGGGATTCGGGAGCACCCAGTCCCAGCTCCTTCTCTGCACCCTCTGACCCCTGACCCCTGCCCTCGGGCTAAGATCGCGCACCCCTCGGATTCTTACACGCGCCGTCCCGGGATCCCGCACCGTGCACCGGGTCTGCACGGCGCAGCGCAGCCCGCAGCTGCTGCCGCCAATATCCCCAGAGCTGAGCCTCAGCAGCCGCCGCCGCCGCCTCACCGCTGCCACAGCGGCAGCTGCGCCAGCCCTCGCATCCGCCGACTCCTGTCACTCAGCCCCGCAAGCCCCGCCCGCATCCCTACGCCACAGCCTACTGGCCATCAGAGAGATCGCAATGAAGTTTGACGGGGTGGACTACACGTCACTCATCGTTCTCACGGCCCTCCTCCCTGAGGGAGGGCGGAGCGAGGAAGCACCACCCCTCCCCCACCCCGCCTCACTCTCTCAACCAATAGGAACCTCGGGTCTTTCGATTGGCGGAACGTCAGAAAGGCGGTGATTTTGATTGGTCATCTTTCAGAAGGCGGAGCCAACGCAACTGGACTAGAAGTTGAATGGTGTAAAAGGTGGTCAGTCAAACGCAAAGTCCCGCCTTATAAGAGTGGCTCGTAACCTAGCAACACAGGGGCCGCCGACTTGATTAACTGTGGGCAAAGAAACTTGCGTTTTGAGACGCAGGTGAGTGACAGCGGGGAAGCCCGGGGCTGCAGGCTGTGTGCACCTAGTAAGCGCTCTGTCCAGAGACACCCCCCTGAGGGGTCCGCGCCCCACTGCCATCCCGTCCAGCTCCAGGGCCTCACTCCCCTGCCCTACCTCCATCCAGGCCTCCTCTAGGCCTCCCGCAAGGACCACCGAGCATCCTCTAGTGAGTCTTGCCTCCTCTTGTCTGGTCCACGTGTCATTTCATAGCCCCGCCCCTCATCCCTCCCTGGAACTATTTATGAAGTTCACATCGAGTGAACTTAATTAAAGTAATGGGATGGGTTGATCTGTTTGGCGCCCACTGTCCGCACTATGTTCCGAGGTGAGCTTGCTGGGTGCATGATCCCCCTTCGGTGTATGCTTAAAATAAGGATTTGCTGTTTGTTTTGTTTTTGAAACAGGGTCTCACTAGGTAGCCTCGAACTCACTCTGTAGACCAGGCTAGCCTCAGACTCACAGAGATCCACCAGTCTTTGCCTTTGAGTACTGGGGTTAAAGGCATGTGCCACCACCCCTGGTCTGATTCGGTTTATTATTGTTGTTGTTGTTTGTTGAAGTTTTTATTATTATTTTGATCACTGTGCTTGCGTTGGTAGGGTATATGAATGTGAATACAGAAAAAGAGTTTTGGACCCTCTAGCGCCTAGGTCCTCTGCAAGAGCAGCCAGTTCTGTTAAACACCGAGACATCTCTCCACCCCGGTTATTTTCTTCATACCCAGAATTTTGCCTTTGAGGTTAACTTTACATTTTAGTTCATATCCTTAAAAACGTGGCTTCCTTGTGCATCCTGAAGACAAAGAATTATTTCTTGGGAAGATTGAATGGGACAAGGCAATTAAGAGTCGGCGTGGGCATACCCATAGAGTGACTGCCCAGCTAATTGTGGTGATTTCCCGCTATGACTCATTCTACCCTAACTCTCTCTGTCTAGACATTTCCTAGAACACTCTCTTGGCTCAGACAGCGAATAATTCACATATTTAACATGGGCTTATTGAGTGCTTAGTGTATGTCTTAGTTAAGGTTTTACTGCTGTGAACAGACAGCATGACCAAGGCAACTCTTATAAGGACGACATTTAATTGG